AGAAAGTAGAGGGCGTGAGAATAGTCACGTGATCTCGATGACGCAACAGTATATTACTATATTTATCGTTTAAACTGTTTATAAAATTTCCCTTTCGGATGAAATCAGAGGCAACTTGCTTGTTTGTTTATGTTTAAACGTAAAGCTACACAGTTTACTGCTGAGACGTGAAAGGACTGAGACAAGTAAAAATTATATACTTCAATTATATATAATGTGGAATTTACTATATAATGTTAGTTGACAAATAAATCAAAAGTTCTAAAGATATCAAGTACATTACTTGTAAATAGGCGATTTTTAATTAGCAATATAAAACAATAACGATGAAATAAATATAAATAAATAAAAAAAACATTACAAAGAGACTCAAAATTTAGAATTAATTTTCCATAACCGATTCTTGTTGTCATAATTAAAACACAACTCTATTTTTGGTTTTGTCTGTATATTCGTAAATAAATTAGAATTAGCTCAAAGGTTATTGACACTTATTATCAATTGTAATGTAACTTTTCTGTGTTCTTAAATAATAATTTTGAAAAATATACTTTTAAACATAAAAGTACATCACTACCTTTGGTGTTCAGCTTCCAGAAGGTCTCTCCAGCCCTCTGAACATTTTTCTTGAGGGACATTACCTACTCCTGGATAAATTAGTTTTCTTCTGGTATAAATATATATACACTGGTATCTGTTGTTGTGGCCTATGTCAAGTGGTTCTCTTAAGCTTGGCAGAAAGCATGCAGCTCTCTACAGTCTGACCTAAATGGTTTGGTGGTTAGGGCACTCGACTCACAATTTGCATGTTGTAGGTTCGAATCGCGCCACTGAACACGCTTGACCTTTCAGCCGACGAGGTATTGTAAAGTGATGGCCAATCCCACTATTTGTTGCTAAAAGAGTAACCAAAGAGTTGGTAGTAGGAGGCGTTGTAACGTGATGGTCAATCCCACTATTTGTTAGTAAAAGAGTAACCAAAGAGTTGGCAGTAGGAGGTGTTGTAACGTGATGGTTAATCCCACTATTTGTTAGTAAAAGAGTAACCAAAGAGTTGGCGGTAGGCGGTGTTGACTATTTGCCTTTCCTCTACTCTATTACTTCAAATTTAGGGATGGCTAGCGCAGATAACCCTCGGGTATATTTGCGTGAAATTCCACAAACAAACAAACAAAAAAAGTCCAGTTAATAGCCAGGGATTGGTTATGGCATGCCACTTCCTAGTTATAATTTTGCTGAGTCTAAAAGAAATGTATTTCATCTCTTTGTACTCGTTTAAAGTCTGTACTCTTTTGTATACTACTAACTTGTAATATAGTATGTATATCTTCACCAAATTCTGCAGACTTTCATTAAACATTATAAATCTTTCATACACAAAAATCAAATTTTCGGTGAAGTATTTTTAATAAACTAAAAAAAGATTTGTCCGTGAATATATCGAGTATTTTTTACTAGTTCATGTACAAAGTGATTTTCATCTGAAGATTAAAAATACTTTTCTTCATCTCAAAAACTCAAACTTTATTTACGTAATCTCTAAAACCTCCTAAATACATTTCAAATGTTTGTTTTCAGTAAAACTTTATATTTTATCTGTTATTTTCTCCACTCCAACTCTATACAAGGGTGGTCAATTTGACTGATCTCGTAACCACCAAACAACAACAACAAAGATAAATCTAAATTACCATTTTTTTTTCTTAGAATGACTTCAAATTGTAATATCAAACTACAATCTTTTATGCTAAGTTTATCTTTAAACTCGTAACAGTATACATCTATTTATACTTAAATTTTATTGTTTTATTGCCCTTTGATTGGTTTTTGAATCATATCTAACTACTATTATTCATGCCATTAATTATAAGTTGTAAATCACTTGGGGAACATGGAGCTCACGTTACGCTATCGAATTACATTACCCACAAGCTACTCTGAGCTACTGAGCTGCTCGCCAGTGTGCCTCATGATATTTTTTTATTATATTACAATTATTATTTGTTTTACCTAATCTAACTTTAACTAACCTAAAGAGATCCCTATTTTTACATATTAGTTACTCTTGTAATAATAAATAAAGAGACACATGAAAAACAAGAAATAAAGTACTTACCCAGGTTTTTTTTCCCTGTGGACTGTCGATGACACTTAACCCTACATTTTCATACTAATGGTAGTAATACACTAAATAATGCCCCCCCCCCAATGGCACAGCGGTATGTCTGCGGACTTACAACGCTAGAATCTGGGTTTCGATATCCGTGGTGGACAGAGCACATATAGCCCATTGTGCAGCTTTGTGCTTAATTACAAACAAACACCTACTAAATATTTTTTATTTAATTAAATAATGTATCAAAGAACACAGAATAAAAACATTCAATAAGAAGACAATTTTCCATAGCTATCACAATTTTCATGGCTTTCTAATTATGTGACAAAGCCATTACAAGTTCATCCAAGCTAGTCATTATCTTTCCCGTGGAAAGTGGCTTGTCTTAACAGAGAAAATATCAATTCTCTGTTCAGAAAACAACGTAATATAATACGTAATTTGATAGATGAAAGCCTTGGTTTTCTATTGGTTATACATAATATAGTATTAAGAGTAAGAGAGAACTATTAAATCCTGAAAGAGAAGATGTGATAGGTGGGTGTGGCAAGAGGGGTCTGATTTTCTATTTGATGGCTCTGTAACCAAACTAGGTTGAAGGATATAAAAATTATGGTTTCTCTGAGCAATGACGATTTTATATTGAGTAATTTACGTTGAATTTATTACTTATTGGAGCGGTG